AAATCTTGAAACCGATCTAAGGCAGCTCCCTCCAAACATACCTTAAACGCTTCTGGAAACTGTGGTTCTTTGATACTTAAACTTTTGTGTATTTTTTTTCTGTTCTACTCAATAGTAATATTATTTCTTGTACTCATTGACCGGAACATGTTCAGAATAAAAAAAAAACTGGTTCTTAAAATAATTTTTCTACGTTTTTGGCACATATCCTTAAAAGTTCAAAAGCAGAAAGTCTTGGCTGAGAGCAGTGGTTCTATGAAAGTAAAAACAAATTTTGATTAAATAATCCTGAAAAGATAATATATAAGTTCATGTGCCGTCGTAGATACTGCGCATGCATGCGCTAAATATTATAAAAAAAGGTTTTTTGAGATATTTTTGGTACTCCAATAGAAGCCCCCGTCTGTCTATATAGTAGGTGTTCAAGTGCTCGGAGCCTAGTTCACTAACTTTCTTAGCCTTCTCACAATGTGAGAAAATGCTTTCTCACATTTGAAAACTTTGTTGGAAGAAAAAAAAGTCGTAAAAACGTTGTAAATACTCCTGAAAGATGTCTTGTAGATGTTTAATTAGTTTTCCCTCTTCTAAGAAAGCGTTAGTGATTGTCTTGTCAATTCAATTCAATAGTTTGTGCTAGTTAAATTCTACTGACATATGATCCCTGGAAAGCGTCTTCTCAATTAATAAGAATTAAAGACATCCTAATGCCTTTATAAACTTGGGTTGTGCGTCATTTTCAAAGGAATCCTGAAGAGAATATTGATAAAGCTCTTTTCAGAAAATGGCGTCAAGATCCTGAGGACACTTGCATGATTACGATCAAAACTAATTCAGAACATACGGGAGTACGAAGAAAACAGAAGTTTTCGTTCCAAAAATTAGTCATAATTGACCTTCTAAAGTCTAATAAAAGCTGTTGACTAACTCCTCCCAGAATATTGTGGTCCTCTTATACTCCTCGTTCTTCTAAAGAGACAAACGTATCCGGTATGTGCATTGGAATTCCGGGGGTAAAATTTTTGCTAAGACTCCAGGTAAAGACTCCCTTAAGCCCCACCTCCCTCACATTGTGAGTTGCCCCGCCCCCCTTGGCTCACCTCTGATACTTTCCATGGTAGTTGTAAAAATCAAATTATAAATTATAGATTATGAATAAATCATAAAAATACCAAACAAAGTACAGTAAAATAATCATGTAAGTGATTACTTCATTAATATGATACATTTGTGTTAGTTCTAGAAACTAATATTGGTGTTAAAATTTTTTTCCTTTTTTGTAAGTAATGACATGTCTTATACGAAAGTAAAATTTGTAATGAATGTACTTGGTATAAAGAATATTCTGAAGGAGGGCGATGTGAAAAAGAAAATTAATAGGAAATATCTCATTTGATCGTGTGTGGAGAGCAATTTCATAAGTATAAGAGTTGTATGTGACTGTTTACGAGAACAAAACATTTTTTTAATTTTTAAATGTAAAAAATGTTTTTCAGAGCTTTTTTTTAACTTTTCAATAAGTATATCATAATTTTACGAAAGCTTAGTTCCGTTTCAATACAGAGAAGGGATAAGTCGTTTAATTGGTCTTGAGTTTGAGATGATCTTAAAAAATTATATACCCTTTTCATGACGGAAAAGAACCTTTCCCCCGTGCAATTGGCCATCATCATACTTAAAAATATTGTACAGAATATATTCATACTAGAGTGAATTATATATTCATATAAAGCCGTGATAATCCATTATCCATGAACATTGTATGTAACTCTTCAAAGAAAATTTCCTGAATATTCAGTAAAATTAAATGTGATGGTAGACGTTGGCATTCGAGGAAAAAATTATTTTTTTCAAAATCATTTGGATAGTTAAGAATTAGACTGTGCACTTTTTGTTCAATATCTTTAATTTAGAGCTAACGGGCTCGATTCAGCTCCCCATTTTCCGATTAAATCAAGAAAAAGTGAAGTACATAAAATCCATTCGGTCAATGGGTTGACTTCTAAAAATCTAGCTTTAACACCAGAGTAAATGCCTGCTATATCGCCAGCATTATTATAGCATTTCCAATAAAAATGAGTAATATCTATATCGTAGAGTGCGTGGTGGCTCAGTCGGCTAGGTCGTGGATTGGCACGTGGGAGACCTTGGTTCGATTCTCGGCCAGTGCAACTTTCCGGGTAAGTACCTCTGTGATTTTTTACATGTGCTTTTTCACCACGCAATGCTCCTGGAGGAGGATTTACGTGACCTTCTCGCAGCAAAAATTGCCTAATTTTTCCCTACCCCCTCCCAGTAATGAAAGGGCCTCCCATCCCTTTCCTTGTCCCTTTCCCAACTGCTAAGTGCCCATAGTAGTGCCCTTATTAAAGGAACCGAACGTAGAGCACTATAAAAATGAAAAAAAAAAAAAATCTATATCGTATTTTTTAAACTCCTCTAAGATCGCTTTAAATAGTTCTATTCCAGTGTGATGACAATTGGGAATAAACTCGAAAACCTTTCAATAGGACTTAGATCTACTAAAGTGATAAAGTAATAATAAAGTGTACCTATAGTTGAACCTAAGCTCAATCTTCTGTCCAAAATGTCAATATGAAAACTGCTTCTCCTCGTTTGTGTCTTACACTGGATGAGTCGTCTAAATGTTCAAATCCCAGCTATGCAGTTTTTTTCAATTGTAACCATGTTACAAGATCGTTTCTTTACTGACATAAACCTTAAAAAAAATGTTTAAAACTGTTGTAAAATTATTTATCATTTACTGAAAAATAAAAATTTGCTTTTATGATATACACAACTATTAGAAAATGAATTAAATTTATTAATGGGAAAGTAGTAACGTGATTAATTAAATTTATCGATATTTTTCCTCTATGATGAGTTTTAGCGAGGTACTTAATTTTTTAGTTAAAACTACTGGTTTGTAAAAAAATTGTCGTCCGTAGTAATTAAAAAAAAGTTTTACCTCGAGCAGTCCTTGAACCTGAAATCTCTTTCTTGGTAACGCGCTTTTCTGGCCTCATTAATTTTTTAATATTTGTGTACATCATAGAGTAGGTGTAGTCCAAAAAATAAAAAAAAAGTTTAAATGAGCAATTGAGAAAAGGATGTCACCGAGACCTTAGTAGTGGAACTGGTAACGCACTTTCCTGGCTAAAAAGAGACCCAGGTTTTAGACCTGGTCGAGATGACACTTTTTCAATTGCTACGTATGACAATTTTTTACCTGATAATAAGGTGGATTATGATCAGAAATAAAATATGTTATGGCTAGGTTTCTACATCCAACTTTTTAGATTTGTCTGTCAGTGTATCTGAAGCAGTATGTTTTGCTTTTTTCTTTACTTCAAAAAAAAAATCATTTTAATCATCGTTTAAATCGCCGTACTCACTATCAGAAATTATTGCTTATAGAAAACGTAAGGTGTTAGGAAAAATAGCTGAACATTTCACGAAATACTTGACGAGTCAATGTGGTCCACAGACACATAATAAGAATGGATAGCTTACTTAGGCCTAGCTGCTGAAGTTCAGGTAAAAAAAGATAAAGAAACGAGCATGGGTATCTGTTTTTTTTTCAGTCTTGCGCGCACTCTACATGTGCAAGAAATACAGATATTCACACCCGATGTAGAGTGCATAAAAGGTTAGGGAAAGACAAATATTCATGTTTGGTTCTCTATTGAGTAGCGTCGGAGAGTACGAGATAATTTAAGCAACAGGCAAAGCCTTGGCAACCACGCTACGATTTTCTTCACATTCGCATACTAAACTGTTAAAATAGTAAAAAGTAAACTATTTTTGTCAGTACGTCTGATGTAATTTGGTTTAACTTAGTCTCTTCAATCTTATTCTACAACTTTACTGACAAAGATGGACTATGAAGTCAATGGAATAACAAAAAGAATA